TTCTCTCTAATGATTTTAGTACAGAAAAGATACTATATCATTTCTGATGCCTTTTTTTTTTTTTTTTTAAGATTTCATTTATTTATTAGAGACAGTGTGTGTGAGCAAGAGAGCACAAGCAGGGCGCCTGCGTGGCTCAGTGTGTTAAGCCGCTGCCTTCGGCTCAGGTCATGGTCTCAGGGTCCTGGGATCGAGCCCCACATCGGGCTTTCTGCTCAATAGGGAGCCTGCTTCCCTTTCTCTCTCTGCCTGCCTCTCTGTCTACTTGTGATCTCTCTCTGTCAAATAAATAAATAAATAAATAAATAAATAAATAAATAAATAAAAAGAGAGAGCACAAGCAGAGGGAGCAGCAGAGGGAGAGGGAGAAGCAGACTCCCTACTGAGCAGAGGGCCCAATGTGGGGCTCAATCCCAGACCCCGGGGTCATAACCTGAGTAGAAGGCAGAGGCTTAACCCACTGAGCCACCCAAGTGCACCATCTGATGCCTTTACTATGAAAGTCCCGAGTGCTTGTACACTTATGCAAGCAAAGAGTTAATGTTTCTTTGCCTGTGAATACTAAAGGATGGGGTTGGGGTTTTAGACTAAGTGTTAATAAAAACCGGAATTTCAAGGTGATTTTTTTTTTTTTAACTTCTCTGAGCCAGTGTTTCCTACTGTGTCAAAAGCAGGGGAAAAGTGAGAATTGCAGGAGGCTGATTGATTGTACTAGCATCATTTCTTTCCTACTTCTGTTTTCCTGGCTTTGCTAGTCGGCAAATCATAAGAAATTTGGAGCCAGCATGGTGGAATGAAGATCTGTGGTATTTGGGGAAGACTAGCGTGTAAACCCTATTTCTGCTATTTAAAAACTGTGAAACCAGGCACCTGGGTGGCTCAGTGGGTTAAACCTCTGTCTTCGGCTCAGGTCATGATCTCAGGGTCCTGGGATCAAGGCCTGCATCGTGCTCTCTGCTCAGCGGGGAGCCTGCTTTCCCCTCTCTCTCTGCCTACTGCTCTGCCTACTTGTGATATCTGTCAAATAAATAAATTTTTTAAAAAATCTTAAAAAAAAAACAAACTGTGAAATCTTGGGTTAAGTCATTAAATGAGCTTAAGTTACCGATACTATGGAACTCTGATAACAACTGCCTGAGGTAGCTTGTATGATTGCAAGTAAGACAAAATTACTTGAATCCTTGTTGTCCAGTTTATTTAATTTTCAAATGTTCATGAAAGGCCTTTTCTTCTTTGTTTGGTTCCTTTTCCTCCACCTATTACATATCTGCTCCCGTTTCTTAGAGTTCTGCCATACCTTGCTTTTGTTGTATCAGTGAATATGTAACCCTCAGGTGACCTATTCTCTTCTCATAGCTTCAGCTATGAAATATATGTTGATGTCCGCTATTGGTGTGTACCACTCTTGTTGAACTTTAGATCTACATATTGTACTGCCTATTGGAGATGACCATCTCAGAAGGTCAAGGTCAAGTTTGGCCCGCATATAATTTTAAAACTTTGAATTAGTTCTCAAAATTTCAAAATTGAAGGAGGTCTCTGGTTTGCCTGGAGAGAGCAAAGGCATAGCGGCATTGAGGCCATGTTCTGGCAAAGTAAAATCAACCAGTGCCTGGGGCTGCTCATCCCCATAGCTGGACACAGGTCACCTCACACCTCACACTCCAGTTCACCTCAGGCCCTACCCAGCCAGCTGTACTCATGGTAGGTATTTGAGTTTGCCACCTTGCAAGTTAAGGAATTAATTAGATGGATGAAAGGATAACCCGATGGAGTAATTAAATGGATTAAGGAATAACTCAACGATCATGTGGCCAGGACCGAAATTACCTCACCTGACCACGAACTCCTTCGGGCGTGTCTGAAAGAGTTGATGTGCCTCTGCTTGGATGCAGAGCTCTGTATTTATGAATGTCCATAAGTAGAAAGTATTTGCCTAAAGACCTGCAGTGAATTCCTTATAGTTTACTGATTAGGTTGTGCGCTTTTTCATACATATGTTTCCTTTTGCTTAAAATACCCTCTTCTTCCTAATTCATCCTTTTCTCTTAGCTCATCCTTCAAAATTTAGCTTCCCGGGAAAACTTCCCTCATCCCCCAAACTGATTTGGTTGCACTTTCCCCCACATTTCTGTAGAATGCTTCTTTTATCGTAGTCTCCAATTATAGATTTTGTTCTAAAATGTGTTTTGTGATCTTTTATTCGAACACGATTGGGAACTTCTTGAGGGCAGATTACGTGTTGAGTTTTATTCCTATCCTATAGACCTCTTTTCACTTCCTCATAGAGGTCTCCTTGTATATCTAGTGTCAGGCATGCAGAAGGCTTGCAACAAATACTGGAAGGATCAATGATTGAAATTCTCCATCAACAGACTGTATCTGATTTGCTTTCTGTTGCCCTGTCAGCAATAATTTTGTCAGTGGTGGTATATAGATGGACCGGGTCTGATTTATTACCTTAACTGATCAATTTATTTACAGTTTGTGTTGGAAAGTGTTTTGTTTTGTTTTGTTTTTTGATATGCTAAGTGTTGGAGAATAGGAGAAACAAAGAAAGTGCAGGTCTAAACTCTTAAGTCTTAAGTAGGGCCCAAAGTTGTTAAAAGGCTCCACTCCTCTCTTCTGGGAAAACACAGTGCCAGAATATTTAATTTAGCTACACATTCTCATGAGCATCTGTAACATCTGATTATCAAATAAATGACTCAGAATAACATGGTATTGGGCTTACATAAAGTGGGGAGGGGACTGCTGTAATTACTAAGTGAAGACAGACTGATGTCATTAATTTGCCCATGTAAGAAGTTAGTGGGAAATAAATTGAGATGAAATGCAACGGTAACCTAATACCTTATTATTACCTTTGAAACCTTGGTTAATATCATCATTACAGTCTACTTATTAACTGTATATACCCCTACACTTACAACCTTAAATTTATTCCCACCCTTGGTATCACAGAGGGATCTTTGGTTTTGTTTATTCCTGCCACAGAGCTCCTAAAACCCTTGGAATTTCTTGGGATAAGAGTGATAGGAGTGTCTTTTAATGAGGCTAGTCTTGGCGAGCCTCTAGATAGCTTTAGCAAGGGGAGCCAGAAAGACCAAGCCTAGTTTAGTAGTTTGGAAATTTCAGCCCTACCTCCTGAGAGGGGAAAGGGGCTGGAGATTAAGTATAATCACCAACACCCAGTGATTTAGTCAGTCATGCCTACGTAATATAACCTCCATTAAAAACCCATCAACAACAAGGTCCAGAGAGTTTCCAGGCTGGAGAACACCTCTAAGGGCTAGGGGCATAGCACAGGGACAGAAGCTCCTGCGCTTGGGACCTTTCCAGACCTCATGCTATGTACCTCTGCATCTGGCTGTTCATTTGTATCCTTAATAGTAAACCTGTGAATGTAAGTAATGTGCCTTCTTAAGTCCTGTGAGCCATTTTAGCAAAACGTCCAACCTGAGGAGAGGGTCATGGGAATCCTCCATTTATGTCTGGTGGATCCAAAGCACAGGTGGTCTGGGGCTTGTAATGGGCACCTGGAAGTGGAGGCAGTCTCGCCGGGGCTGAGCCCTTTCAGTTAGGAGATCTGATATTAACTCCAAGGAAATAGCACCAGAATTGTTGGCCACCCAGCTGGTGTCAGAGGTAGGTAGTGTTGGGAAAGACATCGGATATGTGATGTCAGGAGGACAAAACCTCTCATGCCCTTAATCGTTAGATTGATCACATCAGGCTGATCGTTAGCGGAACTGCTAAGTTACCTTAAACGGTCCCTTTAAATCTGTATGTCAATTCCTTTTCCCCATTGCCTTTCATGCAATATTATTCACTTGCTCCACAAATATTAAAACCCTGTTATATGCCAGACCTATGCTGGGACCTAGGGAATAGTGGGAAGCAAAACCAGATATGAGTCCCCACCCTCAGGAGCCTAGTGATAAAAACAGACATCCATCAAAGAACCATATATATATATATATATATATATATATATATATATATATTTGCAACTGTGGTAAATGCTGAAAGTGAGAGGTATAAGATGCTCTGATTGTTCTCATCAGAAAAAGTATGACACGCTTTCCTAAGGAAGCTGGAATCTAAAGACCTGTAGGAGGAGAACTAAGTGAAGGTGTGGGAGTGGGCAAACTTAGACCTTGCTTCTTGCAATGTCTTCTGAGACTGAGGATTCTTTTTTTTCTCCCTCCTCTTTCAGCACTCTCCTCCTCTAGATTTCCGCCCGCCCCCCCCAACAATTTGGCTTCTATTAAGAGCCTCTCAGAATATACCCAGAACAGCATCAGAAGAAAACATTTCATAAGGCTTCTTTAAAAAAAAAAAAAAACAGATAATAGCATTAGATGCTCAGTAAAGAAAGGCCCCTAACTTCTCATAATTGAGCAGAGTACTGGTCTCCTTATCGGTTTCCTTCTCACTTCTCAGGAGGACCCCCAACTGAATGCACCTGGCATTCATCCAGCTAGGGCCTCAGGGATTGCAAAAATTCATAATAGAGCTATGACCCAAGACTATTGCAGTGGGAGCAACTTACTTTGCTGAGTGGAGTCACAAGAGATTTAAAATAGGTTTTGAAGGGTGAGGAGGAGAGGGCATGGCAGGAGAAGGGAGCACCCACAAAGGCACAGAGGAGTAAAAGAACACATATTTGCAGGGACTGAGGGTAGTTTGGAATTCTCTTAAGTAAGTCAGGAAAACATCATAATAACATAGTGAAACTAAATCCACTTTCTAAAAATACAAAGATCAAACTTCAGTGAACTCTAAAAGTCCCATAGGCAGCAGTCCTCATTTCTCTAAAATCCTTGGTAAATGAGTTGTTGCTACATGTATTAATCTAAACATCTGCAACAGTCCTAGGTTCTAGAATCTTTAGTTCAATTCCTTAGAATCTGTGTATTTTCCTGGCATACCTTATTTAAATTCTTTCCCATTTTTTTTTTATTGTCTTCCAAGTGTTACCCTTCTTTCTTGCTTACCATGTAGAACAATCTTTGTCAGATGATTTCCATCTTCCCAGACCGTGATGTAGTTGACTACGAGTTTCTTTGGCATAGCTCTTTCCTTTTAGTTGCCAGACTGGAAGCTTCTACCTAAAATGGCACATGGCAAGGGCTAGAGGAAAAAATATCAAGAAAACAGGTTCAGCCTATGAAGAGAACCAGCCACCGAAAACTTCCATTAGGAACACATCTAGAGGGGAAAACAAATGTTTCTGCAGTACTTTTTTTTTTTTTTAAGATTTATTTATTTGACACAGAGAGAGAGAGAGAGACAGTGAGAGAGGGAACACAAGCTGGGGGAGTGGGAGATGGAGAAACAGACTTCCCACCCCGCATGGAGCCCGATTCTGGGCTCTATCCCAGGACCTTGGGATCATGGCCTGAGCTGAAGGCAGCCCCTTAATGACAGCCCCTTAAAGACAGCCCCTTAATGAGCAACCCAGGCACCCCTCTGTAGTATTTTGATTAAACAAGTTGTATAGTTCTCTACTGTTACATCACCAGGCAAATATTCCTGTGTGTGCCCGTTTTCAATGAATAAAGAAGGCAAACCTTTCTTAAAATTGAGAATGTTGCAGAATGTTTCCATTTTGTGTGACGAAAGGAGGCATCAACAGGTCTTAGCACACATCTGATGCTAGGGCTCTGCAGTGCAGTCTCAATGCTATCTTGTTTAGTCAGCTATCGGGAGCCTAGATGGGGAGATGCTCATACAGTTTCATCGTGGTGACAAACTCGATATGGAACCCACTCCCTTGATTCTCTGGAGAGTAGTTTCGTGGTCATTTAGGTCATTAACAGCCACGTGGGACTTGAACCCAGGCTGCTGATCCTTCATCAGTGTTCTTTCCACAGCAGGCTGAGATTCTCGTGACCTTTCTCTTCCAGTCCTGTTTCCCTTTTCTTTCTGTCTTCTTTCTTTTTCAACAGTGTGGTTATCTCTGTTCTTTGAAAATGGGTTGTTTGAAATCATCCTTCAACAATATAACTCAACATTTAACAATGGATCATCTACTGCACACTAGACCTTGACACTGTGGTAGGCATTTGGTTGAATAGAATAAGATAAGCAATGTAGAGATAACTAAAATACAAAGGAGAATACAGGAAGGCTTTGTAAACAAGTTCTACAGGATTTCAGAGCTGGGTGTGGGGAAGCTTGCCTGGGACTTGGGCTTTTAATGAATGGAAACGATTTTCATGAGGAGATGAGGGCCCAGGGAAGGAAAAGAATTCTAGGTAAAATGAAGAGCAATAATAAGGATAAAGAGGAAGGGAACATGGGGGAGAGATGTCAAGTAGAATATGACTAACAAAGTACTTATATTAAAAGAGAAAATGTGAGACAAGATGGAAACATAAACTGTGCTGTTTAAGCAGCTAGCAAGGAGAACTTCCTATTATAGAGATCAGAGGCGCTGAAATACGAGAGGATAGAAGCCGCAGTCAGAGGTCTCCTGATCAGGCTAAAGACAGGTCACCTAGAAGCGGGCTGGAAGTGGGTGGAAGATGGCAAGCAATTAACTAAGGTTGCTGTTAAGATGGACTGTGTGGACTGAAGTCAAGAGGGAGGCTGAGACTCTTCCTAGCACACTCCTACCTCTAGGGGGTGCTCAAGGCTTCTGTCCTTCATTCCAAAGAAAAAAGAACTCAAGTGAATCTAGAACAAAATGGAGATTTTATAGAAACTTCTGCGGGAGATTGTGTTGGAGGAAGAAAGTCATAAATGGAGGTGGGCTGAGAAAATATTTTCCCCATCAATCATCTCCGGGGATCCTTAGCTTTGTTTAGATCTCGTAATGTACTTATCTTTTCATCTCTTCTCTGCCTTGTGTTTGGTGTCTGCTGGGACATTCTGAGTCAGAAGGGCAAAAATATCACTGGGGAGTCCACATCATCCAGCTCGATAGGATCTGGAGCCAGCGTGAGCTGGCAATAAAGATAACAGGCAGAAAGCCCCAGTGTCCTTTGTACATATGTCTGGTGGTGACATATGTAACAGCTTCGTGCATGATTCAGGATCTGGTCAGATTGTTCCCACGTAACTGTAATAAGATGTGCATCTGGTGTGGTCACATACGTCACACTAGTCACTGGGACTTTGGAGGCAGGATCTCAATGGGCAGAATTCTTGCTGAGAGAGTTCTTGCTCAATGCTTCAGCTACTGATTACCAAGAGGCAGAGACAAAGGGCTATTTCTGACACCAGAAAAGGTGTCCTTGAGAGGCTGAGAATGCAAAGGCACCTACCTGCACCGTAGGTGCAGCTCTGTCCTTCATGGTGAGGGAGAACCTGCTTTTGGCCAGGATTCACTTCTGGGACCAAAACAGTCTCATCAGCAGAAGCCTGGAATTGGAAGAAATGCAAAGCCAACTGTGAGGCACACACCTTCTCTAAAATGAAGGCTATCTTCTTGGACAGACTCGGTCCCACTTAATTTAGGAGTGAGAAGCTGGAAATGCCAAGAGTGATGGCATGAATCTAGGACCCTGGAGAGATGTTTAACCTACAGGAGTGAAGGAGGCCTGTGAATGACTTACAGGAGAGAGATGACAATACTGTAAATTCTTAGTTTCACCAGTTCACAGTGGTGTTTAGGTGCAAATCTATGGGAAAGCAGGCAGCCTACACGGGAGTAGGACTTACCCTAGCTTGTGGGTGTGTCAGAGAGGTATAATTTTAACCCTAGTTTTTATTCATATATTTAGAAAGCATTTTTTTAAAGGTTTTATTTATTTATTTGACAGAGATCACAAGTAGGCAGAGAGGCAGGCAGAGAGAGAGGGAGAGGGAAGCAGGCTCCCTGCTGAGCTGAGAGCCCAATGTGGGGCTCGATCCCAGGACCCTGAGATCATGACCTGAGCCGAAGGCAGAGGCTTAACCCACTGAGCCACCCAGGCGACCCCAGAAAGCATTTTTAAAACCATCTTCCATGGTCCAGTTATAGGAGTTACATTATTATTCTAGCATGCCATCTGATATTCTTATATGAAGGTCCATGTGTTCTGGCCCAACAAATCTTTTATTCTATTATTTAACGTACTCCTAACTTTCTAATTTAATAATAATTTTATTTCATTATCAAATCCATAAATAACTAATGCAGAATATTTGAAGACACAAAAAACACAGTGTAAAACAAAAATTAGCCATAATTGTATCAAAGATAATTTTGATGTATGCACTTTTACTGTTTCTGACTATATATGTGCATGTTTTAAAATAAAAATCACCATGATATTTACGCCGATTGTAGCTTTTTCTTTCTACTGACTAATGAGTATTTGTGAACTTTTTCAATGTCAGCAAATGATTTACATCAAGATCTTTTTCTTTATAACTTTTTTTGTTTTTTAAGATTTTATTATTCGACAGAGAGAGAAAGATCACAAGTAGGCAGAGAAGGAGGCAGAGAGAGAGAGAGAAGGGGAAGCAGGCTCCCTGCTGAGCAGAGAGCCTGATGCAGGGCTTGATCCCAGGACCCTGAGATCATGTTCTGAGCTGAAGGCAGAGGCTTAACCCACTGAGCCACCCAGGCGTCCCTCTTTACAACTTTTTAAATTTTAAAGTATTAATTAGCTGTACACTATTGTGAACTTAGAAAATGGAAAAAAAATTGCCCAGAAGGAAGTCAGTCATTGAGAATCCTATCATTCAGAGATTAATTGCTTTTGATATTTTAGTCTATATCCTGGCAATCTGTTTTTAAAAGTTCTATAAGTAAATAAATATAAATAAATATAACTATATAAATATATCTAAATGTATTCTCACTATAAAGTTTCAAATGATACAGAAATATTTTACTTTTTACTTTGCATGTAATAAAAATCAGGTCATTGTTTCTTTGAGTAAACTTTTGCCTGTATTTATCTGTAAATGAAATACAGAAAAGTCTGAAAGGAGGCATAAATCACTGGGCTGAAGTCAAGATGTGAGCAGGGCCACTCTCCCAGAAGAGGGCTCTATGGGACACTCTGTCTCTTGCCTCTTCCAGCTTTTTTTTTTTTTTTTTTTAAGATTTTATTTATTTATTTGACAAAGAGACACACAGCAAGAGGGAGAATACAAGCAGGGGAGTGGAGAGGGAGAAGCAGCCCCCCACCTCCTTGCAGAGCTGGATGTGGGGCTCGATTCTGGGACCCTGGGATCATGACCTAAGCCGAAGGCAGACACCCAACGACTGAGCCACCCAAGTGCCCCAGGCTCTTCCAGCTTTTAAGACTTTCAGCATTCCTTATTTTATGGCTGCTGTCACCCTAATCTTCAAGCCCAGCAGCTTCAAATCTCTTGTGTTCCAATTCCTATCACCTTCTTTGATCTCTCCATCAAATCTCTCCCTGCCTCTCTCTTAGGAAGACCCTGGTGATTGCATTTAGAGCCCACCAACAATCCAGGATAATCTCCTCACCCTTAACTTAATCACATCTACAAAGGTTCTTTTTCCAAATTAGGCAACATCTGTAGGTTCCAGTGAATTGGGCGCCAGTATTCAGCCTGCTGGACCTGTCTTCATTGTGTGGGGATAGAGTGCTGTGAGTCAATAGGAAGAAGGGAAAGGGGAGACTGTTCTAAGGACACCAGCCCTAAAGCCCGTTCCACTCCTGGGGGGTAGGGGGGAGACACATGATAGCCGGAGTCATTGGATCAAGAAGAAGTTAAGTTGCTGAATGGTCAACTGAGAATGTGTCTGAGATGGCAGAACTAGGACTGGAGCCCACAGCGGAAGTTCAAGGCCAGAGCCAGAGACACAAATGGATCAGAGGACAGGGGAGGAGGCCATAGACAGGAGCCCTGCCAGAAAGATTCCTGACCTCATCATCAGCGTGAGAGAGGTGGAAGGACTCAAAAGATGGGACTTTGGTGCCACAGGGAATTTTCCGTGTTCACAATCCATCCGCTGACTTAATACCTGCTATTGATTGTATTCTGCAAATTAATCTTTTCTATAAACCTGTTTAAAGTGACCTGGTAAGGGGTTTGAGCCAGACCTGCCTGTCTCCTCATGAATACTCAGGGTGTGTGGGAGGGGAAGTAAGCTGATGGGATCTTTAATAGGTGATTGGTGACTAGCCCGGAGACCTTACAGAAAGACTATACCAGACATTAAGTGTTTCACGGAAACACCCTTCTAAGGGCTGAGTCTGTCATTCTGACTAATTGGGGGGCTTACAGAGATGGTATATTTTTCTCTGAGAGGCTAGAACATTTCGGAGAGCTTGAGTAGATGAACGTCTGTATGAGTGTTGGTAGTGGGTGGGGACCATTGTTTGAGCCAACTCTCTTCACCAAGAGCAACCGTAGTGGAAGATCAAGCTTTAATTCGAAAGTCTGCAGAGATGACTGGGCTGGATTTCCCCAGCCACATACAGGAGAAACCTCAAGGAAGAGGAAAGGGAGAAACACTGTGGTGACATGGAGGCCTTCAACCCAGTTCTCGCCCCTGCTCTGGGCATTTCCTCCACTGTGAGCTGTGCTCTTGCTGCCCTCAAAGCGCCTCAGCTATTTTCTGAGTAAGATGGAGAAAGTGTTTGATGATTAAGTGGAGAGAGGGTTGAGCTGGAACAATGATAGGCCTCATGTTGGGACATTCCAACCCTGAGAGAGGAGGGGGGCTGAAAACCAGTGGGAGGGGAGAGGAGAGCACATATGACCCAGAGTAGGGCATTTCTCCCCAGAAATTGATAGTTCATATGCACAGATATTAGTCATTTAATAAATGAATCTTGTAACCCTCTTCCATGAGGGTATCAGTAAAAACTATACTAATAAATTCAGATGCCTTAGGGTTAGGCATTATGCTTTTCCTTTTCCTGGAGTTCTTTTCTCCCCCTGGAAAATTCCTCATCCTTCAGCATTTAAACCTCCAATATGAAGTTCACCCAACACTTCCAGATTCTTAGCACCTTTCAATTCTTACATCCTGTGGGTCTTCTTTATTCTGGTGATTCAGTAATATTCTTGAGGAAGATTTACAAATTCTATATATCTGAGTCCCACCCAGATTTATTAAATTAGGTGGGACATAAGCATTTGCAGTTTTTAAAACTTAAAATGGTTCTAATTCTGAGGCTGAGAACCAGTGAACTATCACATCATAAGCACAATATGAATTACCGGAGTATAAAGACTGTACCGCTTTCATCTTGTTTCCCTGCCTCGTAGTGTAAGGCCCTACTTAGCCAGAGCGATTTCAGCTTGGTTAAACAGTGATTTTGTCGTTTATGCAGTAAAACTTAAACTGACCTTGCCCCCCCACAGGGGAACTTAAAAGCAAGTCCGGGAAACCAGTAAAATATGGTCGACCAGTCCCTGATAACAGAGCCCAGACTACAAGGACTAGTCAGGCCAAGTGGAGACATCCAATCAGTACAGCGCACACACTATCTCCCTAACTACCAAAGAATGTGGGCCCCGCCTTTTGGGCACCCATTCTGACCAAGGTGATAGGCTAGTTCAAATATCTACTATAGAGTGAACTGTAATTCAATTGGCCACCTGTGTGTGACCTAGCATGACTATGCAA